GCCTCCTTTCGTGCTTCACTATTCCAATTAAAAATAAGAAAGATTTTAAAAAGGAAAAAAAGTTTAAGACTTGCAAACTTCTTTTCCTTCTGGAAATTATAAATTGTAAAATTTATACTTTTGAAGAAAATTTGCAATTTATTCAATATACTATTTTTAATTGCCGCGCATACAAAATATATTTGAGAGGTGAAAGATGTAGAACTCACTTTTTCGTAAAATATTTGAAAGAAAAAAATTTGTGAAAGCGATTAATTTTGTTCTGAAAGTAACCACCACAATTTGTTCTATTAATTTTAATTATTTTTAATTGCTAGACAAAGTAAATTTGATCTCTAAGTAAATAACTTAATTAAAGGATCAGGTGAAGTAGGTCGTACACATTGGATCGTTGTAGAAGAGAGAATCGGGGGCAGAGGGGGGGAGAGGAGGGAGGGGGAAGGGGTTTGTAGGGCACCTCGATATAAGGGCGTTATTACGGAGGCTGCGCCTCATCATGTCCAGGGTACTTAAAGATCGCGATGATGAGAGCGACCTTATAAGGGGTGTTTAAAGTCACCGCCGCGCTGTCGCAACATCACCGCGGCTTTCACCAATCTTGTCGAATTAGATTGCGACCCGCCCTAATCCAGCTTCTAATCAACTGTACGCGGCGAATTGATCCACGTGATCGATCCCTCGGATCTCGCGATCGCGAAAGGAAAGCGGCATCGTCGCAATGACTTGTAAGCGCGTCTTCGAGGGTTAACAAGCCCAAAGGATCTCGAAATGAGAGGTCTTTTCTCGACTCTCAGGAATTCTATATTCCTGAATCTTTGAAATCGCGAAATTTTATAGGCCATTAAATTTATAAATATAAAATACTTTATATCTCTTCTTTCTCCTTCATTTTTTACTTTCGTCGCTTTTACGCTTTTATCATTTTTTTTTTAATCGTTTTAAACGTCTTATTTTTAATTAAAAAAAAAAAAAAAAAAAAAAATGTTTGAATTACGTTTAATTGGAATTTTTTCAAGTTATTGAAACTTAATGACACAATAGATTTTACTGTTAGCCTAGGTGACTATCGAAGAGTTGCGCACATAAAGCTTGTTAACCTTCTGAAGGTAAGTACGGAGGTGTGGCACACCCCGTCTTACAACAATGATCTCCATAGATGGAAGATTGCGCGGAAAGAGCAACGCAAAGGTCGCCATGAACGAATCGCGTGACGCAAATGCAAAAGAAAACGAGTTATTGATAGAACAAATCGCGAACAATCGTAGGTGGCGATCTTGCCAGGTTTTTAATTCTGACAATTTTCGAAGATAAGATCCAAAATTATATTTTTATTAAAAAAAGTAACAATGACCCAAAATAATTGTTAATAATTTTCTCTTTTATTAACGATATATATTTTTCTTCTCCTCCATAAATTTCCTATATTAAAAAAATATCGTTTAAGAATTTCGGTATAAAAAAGAATTTCGGTTTATGAAATTGACGGTAATTAAAAAACAAATGTGTTATAAAAAAAAAATCTCCTTCTCTTTCTGTGTTATTTTAAGCAATATTAAAGTAATAGTATTTAATTTCCTGGCAAATGTGTCGAAATAGTCGCTTCGTCGATCGCATCACGTAAGAGAATACTCATCAGAATCTGTATATGAATTCTCGGTTCCTCTCTATTCGAGAATCCACGAGATCATCGAAATACTTCCCTACGTTCCAGACACGTGTTTAAATTCAATGTTATTTTCTTCTCAGCCTATACTTTGCCTAGCATGTACGTACGTAAAAAAAAGAAAAAAAAAAAAGCTAATCCTAGAAATAACATGGCGGCTGTACAACCCGTTAAGGATACGAATCCGAATCCCGAGGTTACCATGGTAACGAGAATGTAAATGTAGAAGGCGTCCTTTTTTTCTCACCCACTTTTTTTAATGCGATGCAAGAATACTCACAAAGCGGTCGAAGGCCGCGCGACGAAAAAATATAGATTAATTTCCGGCAAAGAGAGATAAACGCGCGCACTCAGCTAAAAATGTGGCTGTTTGATCTTCGTCTCAGTCGTGAATCCAAATTAGAGGCGAAGAGTTTCCATTTAGCTGTAAATGCGCGCGAAAAATGCAAAACCTTTGCACTCCGAAGAAGTTAACGAAATATATTATATATTATATATAGGGTGACCGCATGCTAGTGAGAAATATTTCAACGACAAATTTTTGGAAATACTTTGAAATCTATTTTTCTGTTCTGTAACAATTTAATCTCTAATTTTAATTAAAGCACTCTAAATTTAAATATAATAAAATTCCAATATATAAATAATGCTTTTGATATTTAAATTGATGATGTTTATTTGAAAAGTTTTATATAAAAACTGTATATTGAGATTTTAATGTAAAATAATTAATAATAATATAGGA